AATATTATTATTGCTATTATTATTCTCATATTTGTTGTTATTATCATTATTGAACGCCTCTTGCCGATAAAACAATTCCGAGTGTAATTGGTAAATGAAACAAAATCACAATAATGAAATGAAATTTATGTGTATTTTAAAGCGTGTGTGCATATGCGGTGCATTCGTGCGGAAAGGTCAAAGGACGAGAAGGAGTAGAACGTGAACAAGAATAAAAAGGGAGCCATAGTTGTTGAATTGAAAAATTATATATTCTTTGTTGTTATCCTATTTAACCAATAATTTAAAATGACAGCCAAAAACAGAAGGACAATAAGCGGTAGAGGCAGAAGAGAAAAAAGAAGAAAGAAAAGAAGAAAAAGAAAGAAGTGGAATTATTATTGTTCAGTTAGTAATTTACACAACTTTCGTTCTGTTCTATTTAACTAGTAAGTCAGAACGAGAACCAAGAATAGAAAAAAAAGTTAAAAGAAGGAGTAAGAAGAGAAGAAAAAGAAAAGAAGATAAATAAGGTGAGAAGTGACGTTTTCAGACCGATTACACGAAGCAGCAATATCAAAAAACTTACGTGGCAACTGCTTAAAGGTTTGTTCAACTTTTGTGAAACGAAAAAAAGCCGTTTTTCCGATTTCCTTTATCTGTTTGCTTATCTTTGGTTGTTGGAATACCGCTAGAGACTTGTGTACTTGTGTATTTCAATGTACAGTCCCAGACAGACAGCTGAAACAGACAAAGAACTAACTAGCTAACTAACTAACTGACTCACTAGCTAACTAACCTAAAAAGTTAATAATTTTCCGAAATAAACAACTATGAATGCTGCCCAAGCAAGCGTCTGACAAACATAGCTCACTTGCTTTTTAAGGCAGTTATGTAAGCCAAACGTATAAACATCTATTTCTATGATATCCAAAAAAATTTTCCATCCTTTTAAACGTCAGTTAATAATTTCCAAGCAATAATGAGATATAGACGTAAAAAAAGAAATAAGCAATAGTTGCAGAAAAAAAAAATTAAAAGATGAAACAAAAAATTATGAGCAACTGATTCATGACAGGCTTGACAAAGAACAAAAATACGCTTTTGACCACCAAAGTTGCTCCACAACGGCCGTTATCACACACCTACAGTACTAGCCGGCAAACACAAAATAAAAAAGTAAAAAAATTATTTAGCGTTTAAGCAGCGTGATAAACTAGCAAATTTTGAAAAAAGCAACTATCACTAGATGATTGAGCACCAAATCCGCAGCTTCATTGCTAATATCACAGATTTTTATAAAAGCAAATGAATACCGCAAATTAATGATCAAGCAGATAATCATGCTCATTCTTCTTGTGAGTGACAAAGCTTTTTTGGAAACCTATAACACTGTGTCACTAATCATTATCTGTAGAAAATGAGAGCCGTCACTGATACTCGCCAGTTACCGGCACTGATTAAAGAAGTGAAGAGTTGGCGGAACGAAGGTATGAAGACGAAATGGCTAACTGGGAATGAGCTGTCAACAAAGCTGCGATCATCTTTATATCGTCAGTGGCAATAACTCAAAATGTATCTTTGCATTATACTTATCATAAAAAAGAACTTTTTAATCAAATCATCCCGAAAAAAGCTTTAAAATACTAAAAATCAAAAAGACTGGATAATTTTCAAGGAAATTAAACTTCCTTTTACAATTAACCGTCACGCAATATTAAACTATTTCATTTTCAAATCTTTTTCTTCTTTTTTTTTTTGTCCGCAAACACAAAAATCAAAAATGCTCCAACTTCGTCTTCTCCTTATCACATTTTTTGCACTCACATTTCCTTTTCTTATTCATTTCGCAGCGTCCAAATTCATCTGTACATTCTCTTTAAACAATAAATATATTGCCACCCATCAATTAAAAAGGAAAAAACCAAAAACTTCTGAAAAACAAATCAACAGTAAGCGTTTCACTTTATCTATTTATTTATTTATGCTTCCGTATGCTTTAAACGCATACTGCATAAAAAATAAGGAGTTGAAATTTTTTCATTCCAAAACTGAGTCAAAAGAAAATACAAATAGAAAAGAAGCAAAATAAAAAATTTTTTGCTAATGCTACTGCTAAGGCCAATTGTTCTCTCCTTTAACTCCTCTCCCCATTTCTTTTTCTTCTGCATTACACTAAAGTTTTAAATACAAACCATAAAAAAATAAACGAAAAAAAAAACAAATGGATAAAAAACATACAGAAAAGTAAAACTGCCAAAAAAAAAACCATGAGAAAAACTATTATACAGCAATATCTATTCAAAGCAAAGAAATAATCAACATTAGCTTATTAATAAAAAAGTATTAAATGAAAAACAAAAGAAGGTTAAAATAAAGTAAAATAATCAGAACAAATAACAACAATAATGACAATGATACACTTTGTTTTCTTCTTTCCTGACAGCATTATTTCGTTTTTCTGCCGCTCACCATTCAAAAATTGACAAATCGAATTTATTTTTACTTAGTGTATTTAGCAAAATATTTTAGAAAATTCAAAATTTTTCAAATGTAAAATTTGTTTTCCAGAAATATGAATGGTTAAACTATAGCCAGAAATTTTATTGTTGTGGTTTTGGTGGTTGTCGTCGTTGTTCAACAGATGAACAAAACAACGACGACTATAAAATGTCTTTCCCTTTCCTTATCCACTTATTCCCCTCTCCTTTCTCTTTAATTAATTTTGGCTGATAAACTACAAAAAAATAATAAAATTAACTAAAAAGAAAAAGTTGGAACAATAAAGAAGGTTGACTCATTTTAACAGAAGTGTATTCATAAAACATTTTTTCCCTTACAAAAACAACTTTATTTTCCTCACTCCTTCCTCCCACCTTCTTTTAAAATACCACAGCTGTAGGCAACACTAAAGAAGGGAAAAGCGGAAAGTCAAGTAAAAAAATTTGCTACAAATTGCCTTAGCACTCCAGCCGACACACCACAATTTTAATTCCTGCTAATTTAAGCTACAATGACAGTAACAACAGCAAACTTTTATTTAAATTACTAAGCACAGTAACTCTAGAAAAAAAAAAACAACAACAGACTGACAGTTTTACTGCATCAACGCTTCTATTGGTACTGTTTCGAGTGTGTCTTTTTTTTAGCTCCAACACTGATGTCATAAAAAATAAATATTTTAAAATTTCTTAAAAATTTCTTCTAAAATAAAAATTCCTTCAATTTTAAAATGTTGATTTAAAATCACCAAAATCAATTTTAATAATTCTTGCTTTTTCCTTAATTTCCAAAACTTGCCTAAAAATCTCTTTGACTTCCACTCATTAAAACACTATTGCAAAAATTTGCTTAGAACGAGGCTGAAAAAGAAGACTGAAGATTGAAGAAACAATACTGATGGGGATATCCCACTAATCAGATATTATCCAGCTTAATACCTATTACACCTTATTTGCCGTGCGCCGTTGCTGTTTTTTCCCGGGCCGTGCTTGAGGTGTGCTTACTTCTCGAGCAAGCGTACAAAAAAAAAA